AACAGCGTAGACTGATAGGTTTCTAGTTGACTCAAAAGAGCTCACAGATCACTCCACAGGGGGTCCGGGCAGGTGTTGGGAGTTGCCGGGCGGCAGGTGCCGGGCTCGTTTTTCGCCAACAGTCACACACTTCGTGCTCTTCGATTTCCCAGAACTCCATTCCCAGGCCACATTCTGGAGGGCCGAATGCAACAGTCACACACTTCGTGCTCTTCGAGTTCCCAGAACTCCATTCCGGGCCACATTCTGGAGGGCCGGATGCAACAGTCACACACTTCGTGGTCTTCGAGTTCCCAGAACTCCATTCCCGGGCCACATTTTGGATGCCCGGAGCCAACTGTACCACTTCGTGCTCTTCGAGTTCCCAGAACTCCATTCCCGGGCCACATTTTGGATGCCCGGAGCCAACTGTAGGCCACTTCGTGCTCTTCGAGTTCCCAGAACTCCATTCCCGGGCCACATTTTGGATGCCCGGAGCCAACTGTAGGCCACTTCGTGCTCTTCGAGTTCCCAGAACTCCATTCCCGGGCCACATTTTGAATGCCCGGAGCCAACTGTAGGCCACTTCGTGGTCTTCGAGTTCCCAGAACTCCATTCCTGGGCATGATTTTGAATGCCCGGAGCCAACTGTAGGCCACTTCGTGTTCTTCGAGTTCCCCTTCCATTCCCGGGCCACATTTTGAATGCTGAGGCATGATGCTGAGGCTGAGGCAGGCTGAGGCTGAGGCAGGCTGAGGCTGAGGCCGAGGCTGAAGGCAGACTGAGGCTGAGGCTGAAGCAGGCTGAGGCTGAGGCTGAGGCAGGCTGAGGCTGAGGCTGAGGCAGGCTGATGCTGAGGCAGGCTGAGGCTGAGGCTGAGGCTGATGCAGGCTGAGGCTGAGGCAGCCTGAGGCTGACACCGAGGCTGAAGGCAGACTGAGGCTGAGGCTGAAGCAGGCTGAGGCTGAGGCTGAGGCAGGCTGAGGCTGAGGCAGGCTGAGGCTGAGGCTGAGGCAGGCTGAGGCTGAGGCTGTGACTGCGACTGCCGTTGCCACTGCGACTGTCATCGCGAATGCGACTACGATTGCGAGAACAGCAGAATTCTACAACTGGATTATCATCTGAATCTTAAGGGGAATGCTTCCAGATATGCTCCTACACATCGCTGTTAGGTTGCTTTGCCGGGATAATTGTTTTGTCTCTCTCTCTCTCTCTATATACATATAGCAAATCACACGGGAGAACTCACTCTTGGCCACTTTCAGGCACAACTCAAACGCTCCCCGTACGAAGTCACAGCGATAAACCACTCTGGTCAACCTCTCACCTTCGGGCAGATACGTCCTGGTAGTCAAGATCAATCGGCTTTCGCAATGGGGATGTCGCGCTCGTGGTATTTTGCCGCGGCTCGGAATGGCAGCCGCCCCGCTGGGCCACAATCACAAAGGAGCGCGCAGCGAAGAAATACAGCCCTTGCAATTGGAAGGTGTTTCTGCGGGTCTGAAGAACACGCGCAGGACCAGAGCGAAGGACATGTTTACCGCCCACCTTGATGGTGTTCCGGTAGGTCTAAAGGACAACCGCTTGCGCAAATAAGATATCATGTTTCGAGTACTGTGGATGGTGCTCCGGCTCATTCCTCTCCTCTTGCTCCTCATCCCCTTCCCCATGAGAGGCGCAACAATCTGCGGGTCCAGAGTGGAGAGGGAGAGGTGGGTGCATCCAGTGGTCTGCCTGCATGGCCTGGGCGTTGCAGGCGTGCCTGCCTCCCTCGCACGGACGCCAGTCCGTCCGGCGGTGGCATCAGGGGTGGAGGGCAGGTTCGGGGTTCTCGGTCTCCGCTAGCCAGTTCGACGCCCCAGGAGGTAGGCAAGGCTAGCCGAGGTTTGGCTGTCAGGAGAGTTCGGCATTGACGAACTCTTCCAACGCGCACAGCATAGCACAGGGAGTAAGTGGGGGAGGAGGAGGGGAGACGGGAGGGGGAGGGGCGGTGAGGGGCGGGACGACGGGGAGGGGAGTGACAACTTGGGAAGCTTACGGATCCTTATTTCGCGCTGGCGGGTTAGACCGAAGGTTCCTTAGAAACCTCAAAGAGGACCAACAACCACCTAGCATCTGGCATGCCGTACACCCCTGTGGCAAGCGCCTGGGGGCGACGGATCTACCGGCCATCGGCCCATCCTGCCACCGTGCCTTGGTTGTAGGTCAGAGGCATCTGGGATGCCTGTGGGGATGCCTGTGGGAATCTCTTGGGAGGCCTCTCGGACGCATCTTGGATTTGGCTTTGGGTTGTCTTGAGGGCCTCGGGGGTTCTCTTGGGGGCCTCTTGTGGCCTGATTTGGGCCTCTTTGGGGCCTCCTGGAGCTTGTGGAGGTCCTCTTGGGGACATGCTGGCGGTCTCAGGGGCTGCCTTGGGGTGAACGGCTCGAAATGTCGGTTCGGATTCCCGTCAGGTGCCTTTCTTGGGCCCCTCGTGGGGCCTTATTGGGCCGTCATGGGGGCCTCTTTGGCCGTCTTGGGGCCATTTTGGGCCGTCTGGGGGCGCTCTCGCAGCCTCTTGGGCCGTCTTGGGGCGATCTTTGGGACCCCCTTGGGCCGTCTTGGATCGTCGAAAGCCCGAAAAGGCGAGAGCAACCTAAGGAGAGTGCCGGATTTTTGCATCTTGGGGCTCTATTGGGGGGCGGGCCTTTTGGAGCCCTCCTGGGTCGTTTTGGGTTTTTTTGGACCGTCTTGGGGGCCTCTTGGGCCCTCTTGGCCCGTCATAGCGGCCCTCGGGCTTCTGGAAAAGTCATGCGAGGAAGCCCGAGAAAGCGGGCGATTGCCCGGAAGATTTGGGCTTTAGGGCCCCTGCCCCTTTTACATATTTCAATATTGCGTACAGAGAGAGAAAGAAAGAGAGCTCTAGAAGCCTGGTGAACACTCCACTTCGTGCCTCGAGGCACGGTGGAGAATGTATGTACGTGCGTGTGCTTACGCATATGTCTGTGTACACATACAACTGTGCTACGTGTTGTAGATACATACATATACATACACATGCATACATATAATGTAATCATGCATCTATGCCCTTCTGGCCAGGCCGCGGGGCGCCTGTGCCGACCCTGGGCCCAGGAGGGGCCGGCCGTGCAGGTCTGCAGCCAAGACGGTGGCACAAGTGCAGCTCGGGTTCGGGAGGGGGCTCGCTGTGTCTCAGGTCCTTCCATTCGGCGTCACACCAACATGCTAATACTATGTGTGCGTCGCCCCACCAGGGGCGACGCGCGCACCAAGACATCTTATAGTATATGCGTCGGGGCCGGTGCTTTTTGGCCACACCGCTGGGGAAATGAATCAAGATGGGTATACTACATGTTCGGGCCGGACGCGCGTCTCCAAGGAGGACATCCAGTACCAGCATGCCTCTGTGCATCCCGTCCGTGGCTGCTCCGCCAGCTCCCCTCGTGCACTTCCTCGGCTTCGTCCCCCACTCGTGGCCCTCCCCGTGGCAGCAGCGCGCGCGACTTGAGAGCCCCCCGGGCCCTCCCGCGGCCCTCCGTTGGCCCAGCGCGCGGGCCTGGCCAGCCTCGGCGCAGGGGCGCACCGCCAACGCCCTCCCGCCGTGCTCAACGTCGGGCCTGCCCCCCCCACAGGAGGGCAATTCCCTCTGCAGGAGGCCTGCCCCCTGCAGGAGGACGCGCCCGACTTCACGCCGTGCCCCCCGCCCCCCTCCTCCGCGGGAGGGCCCGTGTGCCCCCCTCCCCGGCCGGCGTGTGCCTGGGCCTGGGCCTGGGCCTGGGATCGGGCTCGGGCTCGGGCCCAGGCTTCAGTCGGGCGTGTCCCTCTGCAGGAGGAAGCTTCAAACACAGGAGAAAAACAGTCGGGGGGCGATTTTGTGACTAACTTCAAAAATCGGAGAAAACTCGGACTGTTTCTGGCTGTCTTGAATGTTTTCGGTCTCTCTGTGTAAATCTTTCCCCCAAGGCTCCGCCCGGCGGAGGACGCGCCCGCCCTGACCTTGGGTCCGGGCCTGGGCTTGGCCGGCTGGCTCCGGGCACTCCCGGGCCGGCGGCGGCAGCGGGCCCGGCCCCTCCCCCGCGCGGCGCAGGCCGTGGAGCCGACCGTCCTGCAGCGCGCCGCCGGGATGATGGCGGAGAAGTTCCCGCTGCTGCCACAGGACCGCCCCCGATCGGAGGCGACGACAGGGGCGAATGGCCCAAGGAGAGAGCAATACCTGCAGTCAGGTGCGCCGATGATCTATGTCTTCGAGAAGGCCCCCGGGCGACTACGTGTAAGGCACGTGTAATGCCCGCCCCTGGGCTCTTCGCCCCCATCGTCGCCCCCGACCCGAGGGGAAGCCGCCCGAGGGTCCCCGAGGCCTTCGAGGGGTCCGCGTGCGGCAGGTTCGTGTCGTGCCGGCGCGGCGGCGCGGCACTGCCGAGGGCGTTCAGGGTCGAGCGCCACCAGGGGCCCGGAGTCGACCCGCCTTGGACGATCCGACGGGCGAGAGAGCCGCTGATCGTGGAGGGTTGAAGGACGCACGCGGTGTCAGAAGCCAGCGCCGGGGTCATCACGTCCCCAGCCTGCCCCAGGCGGCCGCTGCTGCTGTTCGCTGGACGCGCGAGGGCAGGGCTGCACGCGTTTTATTGGTTCCACGCGCGGAAGGCGGTAGGGGGGAGGGGGCTGCTTCGGGGAAGACGTGGGCCTCGTCTGCAGATGCAGGGCCCCTCGCCTTTCTCGAAGCCAGCCTCCTTCGAAGGAGCATTCCCTCTCCCTCTGCCCCGCCCTGCGCGCCGCCAGCCTGCGGAGGCTTCCAATGGGTTCCGAAGGGCTCTCGGAGGCTCCGAGAGCCTTGCGGGGCCGGGGCGTTCTCCGTCCGCCGAGCCTCGCCCAGAGCGCTCGGCGGGTGCCCGGAACCGCCCCCGGGGGCCGCCGGAGGCCCGAGCTGCGACGCGCAGGCCAGGCGACGAGGATCACCGAGGGTGCCCAGAGGCGACGAAGGGGGGGCGAGCAGCCGAGGGGCGGGCATGGCACGTACCCCTCCAGGGGCCTCGCCGAAGGCATGGACCGTCGCCGCCCCTGGGTGCGCGTACTGCTCTCCCCTGGGCTGTTCGCCCCTCTCGGATCGGCGCTGGACTCCCCCAGTGTGGCGCCTACGGCGCCGCCCCTGGCGCTCTCTGGCGCGCTCCGCGCGCCAGGGAGGGAGGTCCAGCGCCGACCCGAGAGGTCCGCGCGGACCTCCGAGGTTCTGTGCTCATGTCACCGTTCGTTCCCCTGGCGGAGTCGCAGTCGGTCGCGCTTGGTCGGCTCCGGCCGGCCTTCCAGGCGTCTCGTGGCGCCCGGGCTCGGCCCGCCCGCGGCCGGTCGTGTGTTGGTGCCCGTGGTGCCCGCGGGCGCCGCGCCCGCGGGCACGAGCACGGGCGGCCTCCGGGTCTCCCCCTCCTCCTCTCCGGTGGTGCAAGGATTCAGAGGAGGAAAAGGTGCCCCCATACCTCTACCCCCCCGCCCGTTTTCCCCTTTTTTGGCCTCCTGGGCGGCCCTCGTCGCCACCGCCGGATTCGCCTCGAAATCCTGGCCAGAATGCACCCCAGGAGAGGTCAGGGGAGTAGCGGTATGGGTACCGTTTGGTTTCCCCAAGGATGGGGTCCTGAGGGATGGGGTCCCAATGCGGGCAATGCTTATATCCATATTCAGAGCGTCTTGGACTTCTTTGGGAAGGGGCGCTGCACTGCCGAGGCGCACTGGACCGAGGCGCACTGGACATGGCTGAAAGTCGAGACTTTCGGGGCCAGACTTTTGTCCATATCCAGTGCGCCTCCGGTTTCTGGGGAAGAGGGCCCCAAACTCCAAGACGCACTGGATGTGGATATGAATATTGCCCGCACCCAAGGGTGGGGAGGGATCCAAGCGTGGATTCGCACTGTTTAAGGTACAGTCAGCCCGTATAACAAGGACGCACGAGAAGGGTGCAGATGCCTTGGGAGGCCATGCTGACGCTTTGCGAGCGGGGCGCGGCCAGCGAGAGCGGCCAAGGATGGGCCGAAGGGAAGAATGCAGGGGTAGCTTTGGAAAGGCGCCCATCCTCACCATGCGGGTTGACTGCACCTCGTCCTTAGGACCACATCCCCCAGGTCCTTCCATTTTTTAGCCACCGACCTCCCCTCGTGGGAGAAAAACAGATAACAGATCCGTATCCGCGGCCTCGCGGGCAGGGCCGCCAGGCCGCGCTCCCGCGCATGCGGGGCGCCTTCTCGCGGATGCCCCGCGCGGACCGTGTCCGTGCGGCTGCGTATCCGCGGGATCGCTGCCCGGAAGCCCGACTGCGAGGGCGCGGATACGGAGGTGTCTCGGACGACGAGCTCTCAACCTATCCACTGTAGCTCCCTGGCCCGGACCATCCTGATCCCGGGAGCTGTGCAGATACGCCCTCCTGGCCGAGCCAGGAGGGCGTGGCGTGTACACTCCGCTGGGTTCATGATAGGTCGGCCACGCGCAGAGGGGGGTATGTGGGAGGGGGGAAGGCTTCTTAGAAGCTCCCCTGCTTTTTCGAAGGCGCGGGCCTTCTCTATACATGCAAGGCCCCGGCGCCCTCTACGAAGCAGCCCCTTTCTAAGAAGCCTTCTCCCCTCCCCCTGGCCCCCTGTGCGCGCCGCCAGGTAGGCCTGGCCAGGGAGCAGTGGATAGGTATAGATCTTCGTCGCCCTGCTGTTCTCGAAGGAAAAAAACCGCCATCAACATAAACTTTAGGCGCTCCGCGCGGATTTCTTGGATCCGCGCTGGGGGCCCCCTGCCGGCGCCTCTGGCGCCGCCCCTGGCGCGCTCCGCGCGCCAGGGAGAGGGGGGTCAGCGCAGATCAAGAAATCCGCGCGGAGCGCCAAAAGGTAAGTATATGGATTTTTTTTTTTCTTCTTCTTCCTCTTCTTTCTAGATTTTTGTCGTCCTGCTGTTCGCCGCTCGTGATTGTTGACTCCATCCTCCCCCCGCCTCCCTCAGCCCCCCTTGTCATTCCGCTGCCGCGCTCCGCCGCCGCCTCGGCGCCTCCGGCTCCGCTTCCTGTACCCTTCCCTCCAGCTCTGAGTCGGGCGTGTCCCTCGACAGGAGGAGTATTCACAAATGGTCGAAGCATAGTCATGGGACGATTTTTCGATTTTTTTTGACTATTCCTATCTTTTAGACTATTGTTGAATATTTTATTGACTATTTTCCATTTTTCTTGCAGACTTCGCCTGCAGGACGACATGCCCCACCTACCTCCAGCTCGGGAAGGCACCCTGGGTTCGGTGCCATGTTTGCCTGCGCTCCCTCCCCTCCCCTCGGCGCGCTGTGCTGGGCCAGGGCGTCCACAGCGTCCGTGGTCTCGGTCTCCTGCCCCCGTCTGCCTCGACCCCCCGCTCTTCGTGAGGGCCGGCTTCGCCAGCCCCGCTCCCGCGCTGGCCCCGCCGAGGACCGGTGGTCGCTCGCCCGCGTCTTCTCCGCGCGGAGGTCCACGGCGAACATGACGGAGGAGCAGCTCCTCAATTGGTGCCTGACCATGTCTACCGACTTGCAGGTCCGACCACGGGTTGCGGGGGCGAGGGAGGAGGAGGAGGAAGAGGAGGAGGAGGAGGAGGAGGAGGAGGAGGAGGAGGAGGAGGAGGAGGAGGAGGGGAGGAGGAGGAGGAGGAGGAGGAGGAGGAGGAGGAGGAGGAGGAGGAGGAGAACGCGCTTGTCTAGGCTAGGAACCCTCACCAAAGCCGAACACGGTCCGAAACTGAGCGTTGGCCAGCTTGCCCTGGCGCGCGCCTGGAGCCTGAATCCCGGGCGGCCGCTGCGGTGAGAGCGCCCGCCCAGGAGCCCCAGAAGGCGCCTCGAACAATGTCAAAGAGCGTCGATCCGACGACGGCGCCGAAGATGATGATAATCTCGACGACCTCGACGACGATCGGAGCCGACGATTGCGCCGTCGACGGTGATCTCGACGGCTTCGGCGACGATCAGGCCCGACGGCGGCGCCGAAGACGATGATGATCTGGATTCCCTCAGGGTTTGATTGCTTTTCTCCAATCGACTTCCGGATATCAGGCCATGCAGATCGAGGCAAACCCAGATGCACCAGGGCAGATCCATCACACTGAGAGGCAACTCTCACGATCTCCAGGGACACCTGGAGCAAGTCGTGGACGCTCCAGCCGCGAGCCCAGGGACAGTAGGAAGTCGTCGAGCCCTCAACGATCGGTGGCCTCGACGACGAGCGGAGACGGTGGCGGCCGCGATGCGCTCGGCCGCCACAGGTCGCCGTGCAGCAGTCCGCGTGCTGCGGCGGGGGCCCGCCGGCGGACGACCTGGGCTGCGAGGAGCCTGGGCGCCGGCCGGCCCGTGCGAGGGCAGGGCTGCTCGGGGGCGTCGAGGGAGGGGGGTCGATGCACACGGGGGTCAGCCAGAGGGCCCGATCCTGCAGGATCCTGCAGGGCCAGGGGCGCACTGACCCGGGCTTGGGTGCAGGATCCAGCAGGGTCTTGGAGGATCTTGCAGGATCCTGCAATGCCTGAGTGACCCGGGTCTGCATTGACCCGGGTCAGCAGATCCCCGAGCTGCGATCGTCGACTACACGGAAAATTTGCGGACAGCATTGCCCACCCCTACCCTCAGCCAGGACCCCCCTTCCCGACCTAGGGATCAAGGAGGTTCTGGCTGGAGCTGTTTTTTGGGGGGTTTTCCTGGGAGCCAAAAAGCCGCCCTCACCCCAAGCCAGGGCCCCCTGGATTGCCAGGTGGGGAGTGTGGTCCTGGCTGGGGGTGGGGGTGGGATGTGCTGTCCTCAGGAGTAACCCTTCGCCAGAGTGACCTTTGGGGCCCACAGGGGCCCACCGATCGCTGAATCCGATGGGGTCACTCTTGCGTGCAGCCGAGATCGTCGTCGTGATTTCCTGACATCCTCCCGTCGCGAAAAATTCACGAAGGCTGGTTTCTGGTGATTTTCGACCTCCAGGGGCCCTGCTCGGGCCCTGGGTCAGTCAACTAACGAATCAGGGCCGGTTACTTGAAGGGGTCCAGGCAAAGGGAGCCACTCTTTGAAAAAATCGCGACGTCGGATGTCTGGGTCTGTGTCGTCGTCGTCGTCGTCGTCGTCGTCGTCGTCGTCGTCGTGGTCGCCGTCGTCGTCGTCGTCGTCGTCGTCGTCGTCGTCGTCGTCGTCCTCGAGGCCCTCGCAGGCCTTCGGCGGCCCTCGGATGCGGGGTCGGGAGGTCTGGGGGCCCACGTCTGGAACGTCTGGTTCATCGTCGTCCTCGTCTTCCCCAGCTGTTGACGATTCGCGAATCCCCGCCAGCCCAGCGGGTACGATTCGCGAGGTCCGTCCTTCTTGGAGGTTTCCTGGAGCTTCTCGGCTATCTTTGGGCCGTTTTGGGACATCGATCAAGCATTGGGGATGGCTCCATCTAGTCTTGCTCCGTCAGGGCCCGAAACATGCTTCTTGGGACGCTCTTGGGGCGATCTTTGGGGTCCTCGGGAGTCTTCCTGGGCCCCTCTTAGAGCTATATTGTGCGATTTTGAAGCCATCTTGAGACCTCAGGCGCTCATCGGAAGCGAACAGGCGAGAGCGCAAGCATCATTCAAACCACTGAAGGTTTTCTTAAGAATTTGGGCTTTGCGGGGGCATCCTTGGGAGGCTCCGTGGGCCGTCCTTGGGGGTCTCCGTAGCCATCTCGAGCCGTATTGTTACGTTCTTGGAGCCTCTTGAGATCATGCTGGACATGGAGGCATTTTTTTTGTTTTGTTTTTTTCCAATTTGGGGCATACTGTGCCATCTTGGAGTCCATCATGAGCCGTCTGAAGCCAGCTTGGAGCTATCCAATGCCATCTTGGACGCTCTGGCCCCTCGGGGTGTGCTTCGGACCCCAGGGGAGACACTTCCCTTTGCAGACTGGGTCAGCCTCTCCAGTCCTCCCGTGACACGGTGCCAGCGCGGAATGGGTCTCGTCTTGCCTTGAGAGGCCTCCCAGATGGACAAGAACGCGCGAGATGGCTTCTAAGTCAGCTCAACAGAGCACCAAGAAGACTCGAGATGGCCCTAGGATGACCCCCAAGAGACCCCAAAAAGACAAGCATCGTCACAATCCACTAGGTTTGAATGCACACACTCGCCTTTTCAGGCTTCGTAACGCCTGGTACGGCCAAAGAGACCCTAAGATCGCCCCAAGACGGCCCAAAAGAAGAGCTCGAAGAGGGTGTCAAGACGCCATGACAGCCGAAGGTGGCCCCCAGAGGCAGTCGAAAGCCATCCAACTCGTGACCTGGTCGTTGAGGGCAACCGCGGTTGGCATCAGTATGGTCCCCAGAGGCCCCCAAGAGGCTCCCAAGACTCGCCCGAGAGGCCTTGGAGGGGGCTCGAAGAGGCCTCCCAAGGGACCACAAAAAGCTTCTAGCAAGCCTCGGATCGGCAACAACGTCCTGAAAGGCATCCAGACACTGTCTTGGGGTGTCCAGTCTGCGGGGGAAGTGTCGCGACGTGAGGTGGGCAGATGGGTTCAAGGGAACGGGTGGGCCGCAACGTGGGGGAGACAAACGGGGGGTGAAGGAAAGGGACACCTTTCCAGCACCTGTTGGGGCCGAGGTGGCCGTTTAGGGCCCCCTCAGGTCTATTCTCCTGTGACTTTCGATCGCTCCTTATCTATCGTCAGTGGAGGAATACATTGCCGCTACGGACGTTTTGACCCACTTCGTTGCTCTACCAATGCAATGCCGGACGAAGTCGCCAATGTTGGGCAGGGATCATCACGCCATTGAGCACCAGAGCTTGCGAGCAGCAATACGTCCATTTCGACTTCGAATCCGAAAAGGTTCGAATTTAGTTTGGGGGTAAGTCATGGGCGGAGTCGCCATGCCGACTTTGAGCAGAACTGGTTTTGACTTCTGTTTTGGAGGAAGTATTGTACGGAAACGCGATTTCGACTTCGAACTCGGAAAAAACGATTTCGGTCGAATGTTTCTTCGAGGAAGTCTCAAGCAGAATCGTCGTTTCGACTCGGACAACCCGTCTGGCGTTTGAATTTTTAGATTCGGTAGCCCGAGCAGTCGAAAGTGTGGTTTTCGCCAGGGAGTTCCTCGAACCAACGATTTCGACCCGATGCCGACACCCGTCGGCCCGAAGTCGACATGGCGATCCCGCCCCGTACTTCTTCGACGAAGCGTGTCCGACCGACGTTGGAACTCCCTGGTCCGAACTTCGAGCTGCGTGGAAGTGCCTCTCGCTTCACGAAGCAGCGTGACGCACCCCGGCAACGGGGGCCCAGCCGCCCATCGGGCCCCTTACAAAACGTCCCCTGCTGACGCCTCGTGTGCCCGGGCCCTGCCGCCGAGCGGGACGAGCCAACGTTCGGCCGGACTTTCAGCCACGGGCGGGGCCTGCTCGCACCAGGCCCGCCCGCTCCTCGCCGGGGCCGGTTCTGGAGTCTATGGCGGCCCAGACGAAGTCCGCTCAGCGGACTGAGATCAGCATCGTTTGGCCGATCCCTGTCCCCATCCCCATCCACATCTCGAGCCCCACCGTCTCACCACCTCAGTTAGGGATATGCCCCTCGAAACGCGAAGAGAGCAGCCTATATCCCCTTATGAGGGGGGTAAGTCGGCCAGTGGGGCCCAGCCCACAGCTGGTGGGGATGGGGATCGGTGAAACGATGCTCATGAGACTCTCGCCATGCTCCATCTGGTCACAGTTGCTGAACGGCCTGTTCACACTTTCGTTGACAACCAAACCGTTGGTGACGGATTTGAGGACCGCGCCAGCGGTGAACCGCCACGACGCACGGGTGCACAGAGCGTCCTCTGGCAAGAGGTCCACCGTGTCCTCCAGGCTAATTCTGGCATGTTCAAACTTCAGGAAAAATCACCCAGGCGAGCGAGGCATCTACGAGGGGCGTGTCGCGCCGATCGCGGAGGCACTCAGCCGCCGCGCACATGAACTCGCCGCGGCCAGCGCATGCCTGCACAGCGTGCCGCATGGCCCCGTCGACGCAGCGAAATGGCGGCGCAAATTCGCTGCCGTCCTTCGCAGCACTGCTCTCGCGATCTTTGACTGGCGTCACCAGCAGCTTCCCCTGCCAGACAGAGGGGATGCTTACCCAAGACCTGAATTCAACAGGATGAAGCCCAACACTGCCACCGGTGGCCCAGGCGGCCCCGAGCCAACAGAACTACGTGGCGGCCTCGCTCATCCTAGCAGGCCTCCCGGGCCCCACAATTTCGATCACCTCGATGATCCATGGGCGGGTCCCCTCGGGGCATCCTCGGCGAGGGGCAAGACCCGCTCGGGCTGGGCGGCTCCGTGAAAGAAGACAGATGAGGCAACGAGGCTCCTCCCTCCCACCGTCACAGCAGCGACGGGCGCAGCGATCGCGACGGTCGTCACGACGCGTGCCCACCAAGACTCTCCGACGGTCAGGTGCAGTCCGCCCTCGGTCAGCGGGATCAGGCCGCCACTGCCAGTCTTCTTCGCCACCAGGCCCCCTCCTCCCCCCACTGGGGCACGGGGGGCAGCGGCGGACGGCCAATGACCGACGACGGAAC